CCAACTTTGTGGACTTCTATTGTTATTGTTTCCTGATGTCCAGCTCCAAATGACTCTACCATTACCTTTATTCTCTCTAGTGGTAGTTATGCGCCTGTTTTGATTAGGTTTGTTTCTTTGATTTTCATTTACAATGTTCCAGGGACTAAATTTCCAATCTGTTCTCCCAGACAATTTATCATTAACGTTGCTTCTGCCGTTTATATTTGTTGCTGTATTCGGGACATTAGAAGTTCGTCCTACTGTAGTGTGATCTACAATATAGAAATAAACCAATTACAAGCTGGTATTATTTGACTAGAACATATTACCGGCATATCGATCATATCGTTATTAAGTAATGGTTATATGATAATTAAAAAAAAACTTATTACAACTTTTTGATCAAATAGTTGAATAAATTTATCCTTCTATTTTTCTTTTTATTTTGTCTTCGAAAGTATCTGAATAATTGAATGGTATATCTCAAGAAACCTAATGGTATATCTCAAGAAACCAAATGGTATATCTCAAGAAACCAAATGGTACATCTTAAAAAACCAAAAGGTATATCTAAAAAAAAACCAAACAAATGATGCATCGCAAGAAACCAAAGGGTACATCTCAAGAAACAAAATGATAAATCTCAAAAACCAAATGGTAAATCTCAAGAAACCAAATGGTACATAACAAGAAACCAAGTAGTACATAACAAGAAACCAAATAGTAAATTTCAAACAACCAAATGGTACATAACAAGAAAACAAATGGTACATCTCAAGAAAACAAAAGGTAAATCTAAAAAAAAAAAACAAATGATACGTCGCAAGAAACCAAAGGGTACATCTCAAGAAACCGAATGGTAAATCTCAAGAAACCAAATGGTAAATTTCAAGAAACCAAAAGGTTAATCTCAAGAAACCAAATGGTATATCTCAAGAAACCAAAAGTTAAAGCTCAAGAAACCAAATGGTTCATCTCAAAAACCAAATGATACATCGCAAGAAACCAAAGGGTACATCTCAAGAAGCCAAATGGTACATCTCAAGAAACCAAATGGTACATCTCAAGAAACCAAATGGTACATAACAAGAAACCAAATGGTGGTATCTCAAGAAACCAAATGGTAAATCTCAAGAAACCAAATGGTAAATCTCAAGAAACCAAATGGTATATCTCAAGAAACCAACCAAAAGGTAAATCTCAAGAAACCAAATGTTACATAATAAGAAACCAAATGGTAAATCTCAAGAAACCAACCAAAAGGATAAAAAATTTTGTCCTGCATTTTTTTTAGTTGTAATCTCTGTTCTGCCTATTTATTTTTCACTCTATTCGGTCCTGCCTTTTTTTTTTTTTATCCCGACTTTTTTTACATAAATTGTCATCCTGCCTTTTGTTTTTGCCAAGTTGCTCATCCTGCCTATTGTTTACTCAAAACTCCTGTCCTGCCTTTTTTTCAAATTTCATCCTAGCCTCCCCCCATAAAAATCAAATGGTAGCTCCCTAATATGCAGTAGGCAAGTGTCTATACAACAGTCAAACTTTATATCAACACGAGTATAGAAAGAATAATACTTCTATTAACTGTAAATGTTGTTCACTTAAATTTAGTCTTGAAAATTTAAAACAAGTTATCAAAAACTTTAAAATACCTGAGCAAAGACCTGCATCACACATCTGTCCTGATCGACATTTAGAACATGCTTGTCCTCTTACATATGGCTCCCTATTGTTGAAATTTCCTCTGCAAACATGTAAAACAAGCTTATAGCTAAACAACATCACATTATGTACATTTTCAACAATATTTACAGATATTTATTTTCTCTGTAAATAATTGCATTATCTAAATATGCCATCGAAGAGTGTTCATTTTGAATTTCATTATGCCTACTCTACACCAATCGTTGATTTTTCGTGCATTATGATATATATAGTTCTTACCGAAATTTTCACATCAGAATTAGTGACACACATGACGATTTTTAATTCTTAATGTAAATTTTCCATAATGTTTATGTTCCATCGCATAATATATTTTTCTGAAATGATCACTATGTCTCTAAATGAAATCTACTCGAAAGTGAAGTCACTGATATCCGAGTGTACTACGGCATGATATCGCCATGAACTTGCTTTCAATAACTGATTACAGCGTTCATTCATTTTGAAAAGGGTCTATTTTTTTTATAATTTTTCAAATTATGTATTGTTTTTGTTGTCAATACTATCAATACTTAAAGAGATTATAGACTGATAGTTACCGTTGTTCTACTGATCAAAAGAAAAACAAGGATATCTTGAGAACTCCACAAACTAGTTTAACCCCGGCACATATTAATGTCCCTGTCCCAAGTATGTTGTGTTGACTTTCGATCATTAGAGGTCAGAAAAAGTCCCACTAACCTCTATTTGCAATTTATGTTTTTATTGTTATTGTGTTTAAAGATGGCTGTCGTATTACCACACACCCTGCATTTCTCTTAATTCAAAGATATTTCCTTAAATAGTGGGTCAACTGGGGTTTAATCCTCGTTCAAGCTTGTGGAATGCAAGCTGAATCAACATACTAATACAATGAAAGTCCCAACTATGTACTGATTTTTCTACCCTATATACCACTTTGCCTCATATTCTTATTAAGAAAAAATTCACACACCTAATTAAATAGGCATTTAAAAAGTCGGAATGCGAATACATATGTTCAAACTCTTTTAGGTCATTTTTTAGTAGCAACAAACAAAAGAGCTATGTCAATTGGACATGCTTTGATACTATATCTGCCCTTGAATTTTTACTTGATAACATTTTTGTTCGCTTTGGAGATTCCGTATATCGTCAAGTTATCGGAATTCCAATGGGGACTAACTGTGCACCACTTATTGTGGACCTGTTTTTGTATTGTTATGAGTTACACTTTATGACTAAAATCAGCAAAGACCCATCGAAACAACATCTGATACAAAAATGTAACAATACTTTTGGATATTTGGATGATATATTGGCTCTCAGTAATGACGACTTCAGTATGTATACTAAAGAAATTTATCCTGTTGAACTTACTTTAAATAAAGCTAATACTAACAATGACCACTGTCCTTTACTCGATCTTGATATCTATATCATTAACGGGAAGCTTAATACAAAAATTTATGATAAAAGAGATGATTTTTCATTTCCTATCGTTAATTATCCATTTTTAGATGGTGACGTTCCCTTGTCACCATCTTATGGTGTTTATATATCTCAACTTGTACGATTCGCTCGTGTATGTAACAACGTATTAGATTTTAGCGAGAGGAATTTATGTATTACTGAAAAATTATTACACAAGGGTTTTCGATATCATAAACTAGTCAAAACATTTACTAAATTTTATCATCGGTATAAGGACATCATTCGTAAATATAACTCAACATGCAGACATCTTATACGTTCGGGTATTTCACATCCAATCTTTTATGGTAATATTCTTTACAAAGCACAAAAATGTCAGTATTCACCTCAAAAGCTAACAAAACCTTTAAACAGACTTATTAAGAAGGGATATAGTTACGATACTGTTGTCAGGTCATTAAAGATTGCATATTTTGGCTTTAATATTGATTCACTTATAGGGTCTTTGCATCGGAATTAAACATATTTATTCTAAAACCAGTTGTTGGCATGACACGGGTTATGATCTTCTCATATATTTAATGATGGTATAATACTAAACCCCTAACAGGAGGGATTGTGCCTGATATTCATATGATGAAGACATAATCTTTCAATCAGTTTAATTGAGGTCTGGAGCTGGCATGTCAGTAACTGCTAGTAGTCTGTTGTTATTCATGTATTATTGTCATTTTGTTTATTTTCTTGTGTTTCCTATTCTGACATCGGACTCGGACTTCTCTTAAACTGAGTTTTACTGTGCGTACTGTTGTACGTTTGTTTTTTCTACATTGGCTAGAGGTATAGGGGGAAGGTTGAGATCTCAAAAAACATGTTTAACCCCGCCGGAATTTTGCGCCTGTCCCAAGTCAGGAGCCTCTGGCCTTTGTTAGTCTTGTATCATTTTTAATTTTAGTTTCTTGTGTATAATTTGGAGTTTAGTATGACGTCCATTATCACTGAACTAGTATACATATTTGTTTAGGGGCCAGCTGAAGGACGCCTCCGGGTGCGGGAGTTTCTCGCTGAATTGAAGACCCATTGGTGGCCTTCGGCTGTTGTCTGCTCTATGGTCGGGTTGTTGTCTCTTTGACACATTCCCCATTTCCATTCTCAATTTTATATTGATTTATAAAAAGACAAATAAAAAAGAGAGTTGAGCATTTTTGTCAAATTCAAAGGGAGCAAAGTAATCGAGACTGAGATGAACTTTTGAGCTGCTCCATGCTGCCAAAATAACATCAACACTAACTGATTTGGAATTATGCTTGTCAGATTGACGAAAAAATAATCATTTCAGAGTCAACAGTAACTTTACCCAAACACTTTAGAGTCAACAGTAACTTTACCCAAACACTTTAGAGTCAACAGTAACTTTACCCAAACACATCAGAGTCAACAGTAAATTTACCCAAACACATCAGATGATCAGCTTTCAACATTTTTTATAACACCCTTTTTTTGTTTTTTTTTTAGCTACATCGGTTTTTTTTTTTGGCTTCCCAATCGCTTGAAGGAAGCACGTGGCATTGTAATAACTTACTCTACTTGCTGTAAGTGCTTGTCTATATCAACACGATATTGTCCTCATATGTGATAATACATTTTAGTTGATTGTTTCAATTTCAGAGCAGTATATTTTAGTAGTAATTTATACTGAATTCTAAAGTCATAATTTATGATTTATCAGTTCTTCTGTTAATACTAGTATTTACAGGTCACAGTGATTTTTTTTCAAAGTAAGATCAAATTTTTGCCTTGCTTCTCTCAAACTTTTTAATGTAATGTCATTTTCATAAAATACACTACTAAATATGACACGAGAAACAAGCTAAGTAAGATACATTGATACTTACGGTGGGTCATAAAAACACACTAAATACATGTATTTCATAGGGAATTTTGAATTCGGGTTACATATCTGTACACCACAACCCAATTGCTTACTGTCCGCCCACACTAACTACAATGTCAAAAAATGACAATAATAAGTTCAGTGTTTTTAAAATCATCTTTTAAGTATAGTTATATAAGTGATTCAAACCTGGTCCACATAATTTTGTCTCATTAATATTAATATTCGTTTCCTCTGAGACATAATAAATGAACTCCTAGTCTAAATATAATCAAGACGTAAGCAATGTACACTTGAACTGACCTTAAGTGCAATAAGAATTCAATTCATCATCCAAAATTTACATGACAGGAAGTAATAAAAAACATCAAAGCCAGCAATCATATACTTAGCATATATATTGTCAAAAAAAAAATCAAAATTAATTCCTACAAATTAAGAATTCTTTTAAAGAAAACCGGTAGGAATTATCTGTTTCCTTTAAAACAAATTGATGAATTTCATGCGTCCGAAGCGTTTTACTGGATTTATCAGGAATACTAAAAGCCGAATTTTGAATGCCAAGGATGTATAAGAATCGAAACAGTTGAAGAGCTATATGATCAAAAAGGACATAAACAAATAGCTAAATCCATGTGAGGTCGAAAGTTGTGAATTCCCTTCAAAATTACAAAAAGGACAAATCTAATCCAAAATGGGCAAATTACACTGGAATACCTTTATTTTTTGATTAACGTTTAGACGAAGAGATCAGAGAGGATAGATCCTGATCTTGATGCAGTGAAACAAACACCAGAGTAAACAGAAAAGGTTCAAACAAGTTAATCCGAATAAAAACGCGGCAATCTTAATGAGCGGAATAAAACGAACGTATTAATTGGGTTAGGGTTCTGCTGACTAATGGCCAACCTCCATGCCATGCATGTTTGTGTCTCGACGCAACGTTCCAAAATAACTTACCTTATTTATTTAGTCGATCACTATTCAGTATTCTAATGATGCAGTTTTTCTATTCAATCTTTAACACTTGCAAAATACTTAAAAAATCCTAAAAAAAAACATGAAATCACCAAATTCGCGCAAATTGAACGCACCCGATTCTGAAATGTTTTGCATGTTTTCTAGAGCAATTGACTCAATAAGGGTGCATATACAGGACCAGAGATACATACTATGTCACATTACTTTTCATATTCACAATTACCTGCGTATAATGTCCTGTAGACATACTAAAACCCCCTCCAGGGGCATAGTTTCTCTTCTCATCAAACCACATTTTAATACCTCTCCTTATCAATACATTTATATCTTCACCAACACTTTGCATTGCAAGATTTTCTCCTCTACCATTCTGTTGATGGCTGTTAGAACATTTTGCAGCCCATGCAGTAGCCTCTTGTTCAAGAGTTTGACTCCAGACCTAGTATAAGTCAGATAAACAAGATCAAATGAAGATAAGAAAATATAAACATATAGGTCGTTAGATTGAAGAAGAGAAAGCAGTAAATGAGATACTATAGTCATGGGCATATGAGCAGGGCGCAAAGGCAGCAACTGCCACCCCCACTTTTTGGAATTTTTTTTTAATTGAAAATAAAAAAACTGAAAATGAAAGAGGACACTTACTTCTAGACTATAAGACTAAAGAACAGTTTTTTAGTGTCACTTTCAGAAATGTGTTCCCAATTGATAGTCTACTCCTATGCCACTTATAGTAAAATATGCCTTATTTGACTAATAACATATATTAGCTAGTTATACTAAAATAATGGTGAATTCTGTAGAACTGATTGGTGTCACTATTGGAGCAGGAGTTGAACGGTTGACTATTCCTAAACATAAATCCATACAAATCGTAGCTAGAAGGCGTTTTATCTTGTTGTATGGCTTGAGTTACTCCTTCAAGATCTTCAAGTAAATGTCAAGACGAGAAACAGTAATATAGCCGAGAATTCTTTGATACGCTAGTTATTTGTGAGTATTTTTTCATTCGTTTTATCACAACTTTTCTTATATAACAGGATATAAGTGTAACAAGCACATCCAAACATCATTTGAATCAATGGCTACACTTAGAAGGAAGCGATCCTTATGTGATGGCGAGGGAACACTATAAGTATCAATAGAGACATTGAAATTAATCATCTCTGTAGACGACAAATTATAAATCGGGCATTAATTCTGTTTATGTATATTTGGTAAAAACTCCCAAAACCATAAGTCCTTAACCAGAGATGCTTAACCTTTGTATAAGCTCTATTTGATATTTGCTACATTCTTTTGCCAGTCTGGTTTTAGTTTCACGTTCGTTGTACATTTGTTTTGCCAATTAGAAGTAATAGACAGAGTTACTTACCAATTTCTGCATGTTGGCGGCATTTTCCCCTTTTCTATATCGATTATGTTCATTAATGAGCAATGAGCTATATTTGGAACCTAAACATGTTCCAAACACTGACAACAGAACCACGAGCAACGATAATTCAACCATTATCTGAAAAAGAAGGCTATCAAAATCATCATTGTTCGAAGAATATTTGATTGGAAAATCGCACACTTATTCTAACAAGTGCATCAAAGAATATTGTTGTTAGGTGTCATTTTAGTGCTATGAAATAACACTTTTTAAAAATCTTTGTTTCACCTGTATCAATGAAATATATGAACGATAAAGTTGTGATCAATGAAATATCCGAATGGAAAAGCTATTAACAATGAAATATATGCATCGAAAAGCTATTAACAATGAAATATATGGATCGAAAAGCTATTAACAATGAAATAAATGCATAAAAAACTAGCAACAATGAAATACATGCATCGAAAAACTATTAACAATGAAATGTATGAATCGAAAAACTATTAACAATGAAATATATGCATCGAAAATCTATTTACAATGAAATGTATGCATCGAAAATATATTAACAATGAAATATATGCATCGAAAAACTATTAACAATGAAATATATGCATCGAAAAACTATTAACAATGAAATGTATGCATCGAAAAGCCATTAACAATATGTATCGAAGAACTATTAACAATAAAATATATGCATCGAAAAGCTATTAACAATGAAATATGTACATCGAAAAGGTATACGTATTAACAATGAAATGTATGCCAACGAAAATCTATCAACAATGAAATGTATGCATCGAAAAGCCATTAACAATGAAATATATGCATCGAAAATCTATTAACAATGAAATATATGCATCGAAAAGCTATGATGAAATGAAGCTATGAATGAAAAAGAGAGGCGAAAGATACAAAAGTGACATTCAAACTCATAAGTCGAAAATAAACTGACAACGCCATGGCTAAAAAAGAAAAATACCAACAGACAAACAACAGTACGCAAAACACAACATAGAAAACTAAAGACTGAGCAATATGAACCCCACCAAAAACTGGGCGTGATCTCTGGTGCTCCGGAAGGGTGAGCAGATCCTGCTCCACAAGTGGTACCCGACGTGTTGCTCATGTTAGTACAAACCCGGTGATAAGCATAGAATGACGTCAATTTTCACTGAACTAGTACACATTTTCATTTAGGGGCCAGCTGAGGCCCACCTCCGGGTGCGGGATTTTCTCGCTGCGTTGAAGACCCATTGGTGGCCTTCGGTTGTTATCTGGTCTTTGGTCGGGTTTTTGTCTCTTTGACATATTCCACATTTCCATTCTCAATTTTATTGTAAAGGTGTGACCAGTAACGTTTATGCGTGGAAAAGCTGTTATTATTTAAATCTATCCTATGATGCACAGAAAAGATGTTATCAATGAAATGCTAGTGTTATAAAAGGAAACGCTGGGTTCAATGAAATATATGCATGGAAAAGCTGCAATAGAGGAAATGTTTGTATGGAAAAGGTGTAATTAATGAAATATATGCACGGAAGAGCTGCGATAAAGGACATGTGTGCATGGAAAAGATGTAATCAATGAAATATATCTATATAAGCAAAGTTCGTTATCATTTTTATTCATTAAATTGACCTACATGTATATTCTTCACGTCTTTACGAGCCTTCCTGAATATTTGTTGTTACCTATTGTTTGTACGTCTTTAAATAAAAATTACGTACTTATATATATACCTAGTCCACGACCCATTACACAAAAAAATAGATTGGGCAATACGTGTATTGTTCGTACTTGTATCGTGCATGTGGTCAATAATAATATGGGGTATATATGCATGTAAAATATGTTATCAATGAAATACTATAGCATATTAAAAGGATAAGCTTTGATCTATGAAATATATGAATGGAAATGAAATAAATGCATAAAAGCATAGAAAAGTTGCGATAAATGACAGATATGCACGGAAAAGATGTAATTATTGAAATATATGAATGGAAAATGCATGATCAATGAAATATATGCATTTCCTGTTCTTCTAATTCCACCCACCTCTCCAAATTTTGTTCCGATAAGATTTGAAAATAAGTATACTCGCCTAAATAAAAAGAATTTCTGTATAATTCCTGTATAGAAAAACAGTTACTGAAATATTTATAGGAATTTCAGTTTCTCCTACACATTATCAATCAAAACCAATTACATCATTTGTCACTGAAAATATAAAGAGTTTACAAAACACTTGTTCCTTTTATCCTCAAAACACTGCTAATTTTAGAAGTATATAACAGCGTAATACCAAGTCCAAAGAGACAAAAAACAGTCTTCTATCAAAATCCAGGGAGTGACGCACAAATGAACTAAATCTAATAATTAATACACAATTAAATTAAGACGCTTTGGTCTGTCATGTTTATTGTTTTTTTTAAACTTTGATGTGACACCTGTATCCAGTCAACAAGAGCTATTATTCATTTTTTTCCAGAAAGGTTAATGTACTGAGGCGCTCCGGTTCAATGTTTTTAGCGTGAAGACGTAGCGAAGAGTTTTCCTATTGATGCTTATATAAGACAGTTCATATTTTTAAGGTTTTCGTTTCGATTTCTTCTTATTATAACATCCAAAGGTTCTGCCGTTCTCGTGTAAATGTATGTTGAAATGACAGTTTTCAGTATACTATACATCACACTTTGTGTGTTTTTATTAAAAGGAACAAGATTGAACAAGACAGATTTGAACACGTGTTTTGTATAACTATATCATTAACAAGGAAGTTACATCATTATACATGTTCAAGACGGGTGGTATTTGTTAGTTTGCATTTAGAACAAAATAAAAATAAAATATTGCCTACAGAACATATTCTACATAGATTTACAGAAATGATGTATTGGCAAATCAAATGGGACATGCATTTTCCCGAATACGTTCGCAGGAGGATATTTGTTTCGCGAGACGATGAGACGTTATAAATAAGTCATCATAGGTTACCCGGATTTGAATTGACAATCACCATACAATGAAATTTGAAATTTTGTCATATTAAATTAATGAATGCTGGCATCAAACACTTCAAAGTGCGTCACTAAGATTAATCGATAATGTAGTTCTGAAGAAAAGATTTATTCAATATTCTCAATGAGTGAAATAGATCTATATAATGTCTAAATTAAGGCGACAGTAGTAACCAATATTAAAATATCTCCAATCGATAGGAAGAGAAAAATCAGGGTATCAATCAGAAAACGAGGGAATCGTAGTAGTATTCAAAAGGTGCGTCGACAGAGCTTGCTATGCACACATCACCAGCCATGCAAATTCACACTCGGTCAAAATGTCGCAATCGTGAATCGGACACACTCGGTAAAATTCTGTAAAGATTAGATGACAATACTGGTATCTAAGACCCTGAAAACATGTCGCTAGTGTGTTGAGACACCGACCCATCGTTTCGGTCAATTAAATCTTGATGGTGATAGTAAAACTTATGTAGTGTCGATTTCAGTCGTTCTTCCTCGTAACTCTGTAGGAGCGGTTAATGTGTAAGTAACACTCTCTTGTTAATGAAATCCGCACGTAACGTATCAACTGAGATATGTGAACGGCATACATAGATTCTATTTTGAAGTCGTCCATCTGTGTCAATATCGAGGACAGATCAAGATTTGAAGCTGACTTTTCTACTTTATATAAGTATATACTCGTTTGGTTATTAACGGGCCGGACCATATCAGTATTTATACCATATAGGTGTTTTTTTCGAATAAATTCAAACTCCCTTAACAGACACAGCTCGTTCTCTGAACCAAAATCGGCATATATGTAATTAACTGAAATCCTTTATTTTTGTTGCATATTGTCTAAATCTTGGTGTTACACGCAAAATTGTCCTTGAATACTTTGGCTACATAAAACAACCAAAACTGTATTAAAGTCAGACAAATTACAATTATTTATCAATCCGTGGTACAAGTGTATAACATATAAAAAACAAAACATGTGAATGCATCTACAAGCAACTGAGAAACTGAAAAGTGTGGGAAGTCCCTAAATTTATATTAAGTTAAATGACAAATGAAATGTAAACTATTCGCTTATCCTGCAGAATATACAGCTTCACCGGAACAGGGATTGGTCTTCTATCAACAAAAGTTATATAAATTAATGTATTCTGTCACTGCATATAAAAGTTAGCATCACTGTAGGTTACATTCCAATTATAAAGTTCAACTGTTTCTGTAATGATCGGAAAGTTCTGTCAATGGCTATGGTAAAGCTCAATTATAAAACTATAAATCAGACGTGATTGTCAGTAAAGTTCGTTCACTTCATAAATAGTTCTGCAGGTATTAATTAACTCTTATCTTATAGAAATAAATAAAATCACTAAAGTAAAATATTGTCAAATTTTCAGTCCTAACACCTTCCTACACAAGTTAAAAATTTAACTTTTTATAGTTGAAATTTTAACCAGTTCATTATAAAATTACACTGAAATTGAAACTTGATAGATTAATATTAAATCCACTGAAACATTTCTCATTTGAAATCACACAATTTGCACTGACTTTTTTTTTCTATTTTAAACACCATTATGAATAACTTTCATAATTATTGCTTAATTTTCACAAATTATTGACTTTGATTTTCAATTAATTCCACATAATTTGATATAACAGACATTATATATTTCACTATGAAAATAAAAACACTAATATTGAAATATTTCCTTTCAAAATTATTCCACTCTGAATAATATAAGAACATGTATGACGTGTAAATCCCAACATCATAGTTATACAGAAATCCAGAAACTTGACATCTCCGCAAGTTTCTTCTGATATTAACAACATGTTCAATGACAGATTTATTAACTGATCTCTCTCCAGTTGTAAAATCCTTCTCAAGTTCTGTAGGCCCTCGCACAGGCCAACTATACAAAAGCTCAAACGGAGCAAAACATGTCTCTTCATAGGGTACCACCCAAAATGCAAAGAGTACATAAAGTAATAAAATGTTATCTTTCGACGACCATTTCCGGTGTAAAATATTTCTTCTAATTAAATCCTTTTACACACTCTGGAGTTTTGATCCTCTCTCGTCTCATTTACCTCCTGT